TGAATCTTATTGCCCTCACCCTGGGACATTCTTGGGTCAAAGGACCAGTGTCATGTTGAGGGGCATATGAGTGGGCATTCACTCACTCCAATCCAGGTGGAAACACTCAGCTGAAGTTGGTTGTTCCCAAACCCCTGGAGATGTCTACAAACCAAATAGAAGCTGACTCTGTGGGTTAGCAAGGCCTCACCACAGGTTCCACTCTAGGCAGTACTAGGAAGCAGGAGAATGTGCTCTTCCTTGTCATTGGAAGCAGGATGTCCTCTAAACCAGCAGCACAGGACAGAACCCACGTGCCTAATAAAAGAAACTGGATTTGGTGCAGGAAGAGGATGGATGGTTTCCTGTAGTGAACAAGGGGATATTATACTATCTAGTCACTGCAAACAAATCGGGGCATCACTCAATCTGTGAGGGTCAGTGTCTGTGCAGAGGGATGTCAAATAGGGCAATCATGTGCAAGTCTCAGTACCACACAGAATATGTGCAGTGAATGGGTGTAAGCCACTTCATGCTGTCAATGTTCCCCCGGTTCCTAGGCAGTGAGTATCTTATACATGCTGGGAAGTGCTGAGGAACTGACATGCTTCCGTAATCTTGTAAAATGTCCATGAATACATTGCAATGATATTCAGTCTCCTCTTTGTCTGCAAGAGAAAAGAGCTCAAAGTAGAGGGGAGAGAACCCACATCTACAGAGGGGTGCCAGGTATACAAAGCCTCACCTGTTTCAAGCAGCTGACAACAGAGTTGGCAGGGAATATCAGGACTGTGCTCTGTGCCACTAGGGAGATAGGACTCTTATAGAATGCCAGTGAGGGTGCATCAGCGAACGGTTGTCAGAAATTAGACAGTGTGAGGGATTGCATAGACAAGAGGCTGTGCGGACTCATCAACTAATTCTATCTCTTCACTCTAGGTTCTGGCAACTAAAGGAACTAAAGCAAAAGGAAATTGCCTGGTCACAGCTCACCCTCCCCACCTCCTAATCAGTCTTTAGCTCCTTCATCATCGCCACCATCATCTAGGAGTACGACATTTCTCAAACCTCAGGGGATGCCCCAGCATACTGTTCACTTGCATCTTCCACTAGCGAAGAGACATTCACCTTGGGATGGGATGTGCATTCTAGGTGAGAACATTGTGACAGTGACCTGGACCTGAAAAGGACGCAACGCTCAGACTTGTCACCTAGAAGACTACTGGCATAAAAGCCCCTGCCTAACCTGTGCTGTAAACAAGATATAGGCCATGCAGAAAGAGGCAGGGAATATCAAGTGGTTATGGCAGGGACCCTTACGAGATTAGAGTGAAAGATAGGGGAGGTAGTCCAAGTTTTGTCTCCTGTCATTGCTCTGACATGCAAGTACTTGGCTACCTCCATGGAAAGGTTGGTGGCCACCTTGAAGGTTCAGGTCCAACTGGACAACGTAGAGATTGGTAGATATGTATTCAGACTTGCATTCCATTGCTGGAGCCATGGATGCAGGCCAAGGCAAGAGATAGTCAAGCCATTTTGACCTCCCTCATGATGCCCCTTCTCCTGAAGGATCAGGAAGGTACCATTCGATATCCCCCGAGAGGAGAAGCACCAGCCTGGCACTCTTGAGAATTTATCTTGTTGCACTCCAGAGGTCCCCTGCCTTTCCACTTACCCTCTGTCAGTGATGTAATTGCCTCCAACAGGTCAAGCTAAGGAGGGTGCACATACACTTGACTCCCTGGCTGAAGCCCTCATGGACACCCATCACAGTCATTACTGTTACCAGGACATAGCAGTTAGCAGGTTGCCTCCAGCTCAGCTGTGAAAGGGGCATCACAATGGATGGGGTGGCATAGTGATACAATGATTAGCAGTGCTGCCTCGCAGTGCCAGGGACCCGGGTTCGATTCCACCCTCAGGCAACTGTCTGGTGGAGTTTGCACATTCTCACCATGTTTGCGTGGGTTTCCTCCCACAGTCCAAAGATGTGCAGGTAGGTGGATTGGCCAAGCCAAATCACCCATAGTAACTAGGCTAGGTAGGTTAGCAATGGGAAATGCAGTGTTGCAGGAATATAATGGGTCTGGGTATGATGCTATTTGGAGGGTTAGTGTGGACTTGATGGGCCAAACGGCCTGCTTCCACACTGTAGAGATTCTATGATTCTGAGGGCACCACCTAGATATAATGGTAGGGAAAGAAAAAAGGAAATGTTTTGAGGGCACATGAGTGACCAGGTCTTTATTCAATTTATGTAGTGTTCTCTACATTAACTTGCATGGCATAGAAGTTTGCTCTCAAAAACAAAATTTGCTGTCATCTCATTGCAACATTAGGTGCTGACCTGTTTGGCTGAAGTGAAAGGAGTGGAGTCTGCCCCATCAGAATGCAATGCTCGTCTTACATTGACCCATTTTTTATTCTGTCGTACCATAATCAATGTGTACGCCTAGTCCTCGTCTCAATAACCTAGAATATGTAAACCTTTCAGTTAGGTTTTCTGGTCAATGCTCACAAGAATGATTTCAGAGATAGTGGCTGCGTTAAATGAGGTGAGAGCAAGTAGAATGGGGTTTGCTTTTGCTACATTGCAGAGAACAGAGACACAGTCTCAGTGATGAAGGAAGAAAGTGGATGGCACTGCGGGTGGAGGAAGGAAAGATCTTTCCCCTGGCTCGTGTTGCCATAGTCAGGCAAACCATTCTCAGAAGTAGACGAGGGCATCAATTAACCCTCAGGTAACTGTCTGTGTGGAGTTTATACATTCTCCCTGTGTCTCCGTGGGTTTCCTCCCACAGTCCAAAGATGTGCAGGCTAGGTGAATTGGCCATGCTAAATTGCCCAAAGTGTTCAGGAATGTGTAGATTCAGTGGGTTACGGGGGATGGGTCTGGGTGGGATGCTCTGAGGTTCGCTGTGGACTTATTGGGCCGTAAGGTCTGTTTCCACACTATAGGGATTCTATGATTTATGAATAAGGTGAGGGATCATATCAGCTATGCTGTAGAAGAACTGATAAGCATGCTCCAGATTGGTCTAACTTGCCTTCTCTTTATCCTCTCCATATGTCCTTATATCTGGCAAACACAGCACATTTCTTGTTTGAATTAATGTAAAATGAAATCTAAAATTGGCTGCAAAACCATAATGGAAGAAGGACTATCTTTACACAAGAGTTCAGACATGATACATTGTATAAGGATCCAATAAAAGAACAGACATAGTCGGAGTTCTGTGGGTGATGAAAGGGATAGTGAAAAAGAAAATCTAGAGCAAATTGAGTGTAATCAACTTGATCATGTTGTTTAGTAAGGTAACAGAGATTGTCAATGAGAGTAAAGCAATTAGTGTGTGTATCAACTTCCAAAAGGCTCCTTATGTACTTTTTTTAATTAATTCATGAAATGTGCGTGTCACTGACTTGACCAGTATTTATTGACCATCCCCAATTGCCCTCAAGAATGCAGTGATAAATATCTTCCTTGATCCAGTATAGTCCATGTGGTCTAGATACACAGGGGTGGCACAATGGTCAGTACCTGTACCTCACAGCACCAGGGACCTAGGTTTGATTCCACCCTTGGGCTAATGTCTGTGTGAAGTTTACAAGTTCTCCCTGTATCTGCATGGGTTTCCTCCCACAGTCCAAAGATGTGCAGGTTAGGTGGATTGACTGTTCTAAATTACCCCATAGGGTGCGGGCTAAGTGGATTACGTATGGTAAATGTGGGCTTACAGGGATAGGGTGGGATGCTCTTCAGAGGGTCAGTGCTGATGGTCTCCATCTACGTTGTAGGGATTCTGTGATTCTATATTGCTGTTAGGAAGGGCATTTCAAGAATTTGATCCAGTGACAGTGAAAGAAGAGTAATAAAGTTCCAAGTCTGGCTGGTGTGTGTTTTGGAGGGGAACTTATAAGTGGTTGTGTTGTCATGTATTTGCTCCCTTGTGGTAGAGGCCATGGGTTTGGAAGGTACTTTTAAGTAGCTTTGGCACGTTGCTGCAGTGCATCTTATTAAATGGTACAGACTGCTGCCGCTGTGCATTGACGATGGAGAAAGTGAACGTTAAAGGCCTTAGATGGGGTGCCAATCAAGTAGGCTGCTTTGTCCTAGTTTGTACTGAGTTTGAGTGTTTTTAGAGCAACATAAATGGGAGGTGGAAGATTTGGCTGACCAAATGCGTTTGTGGGTTGATGTGGGTTTGGACTGATCCACTATCAGGTAGATTGTAAATGGTAGCATCACTGGACAGATTGATTAGACAATAAAAAAGAAATGAGTATTATAGCCATCACACAGGCTTAGTTGACCTCAGTCCAGATTTTGAAAGTGAGTATTTCAGATCTATTTTCCTGCTTAGACATAGTAGTCATATCATGAAGCACTTGCAGGATTGTGATAAAGTTTCACGAACATCTGAAAAACATAACTTTAGAACACAATCCAAAAATCCTTTGATTTAATTTAAAAAATTTTTCGACAGGCCAATGACTGCAGTGAAGACCAGCATTCTCTTTAGTTTTCTCTCCAGCTGTGCAGTCCTTTGGGATCCATGCGGATTGGCAGATCAATGGGATTACAGCATCCATGCACAACCTCTTAGCTTAGAGGGAATGTTCAGAAAGCGATCCTGCTGTTAGTTTTCAAAATTTTCTTCATTTTATCTTGCAACAAAAACCATATTGGACATTCTTCTGGGAGGTCTGAAGTCACACAACATCTCTCACAAGATTTCCTCCACAACAGGCAATAAACAATTCAGGAGAATATATATCAGGATTTTCCCTGCTATACACAACAGAGAAATACCTTGATAGATTCTACAACATAATCTAAACATTTTCTTGAAAACAGTTACATTCCTGAAATTGGGTGAGTTGTGGTTGATTTGGTTTATTTTACTGTCACGTGTATTTTGTTACAAAATACAGTGGAAAGTTTTGTGTAGTGTCACCACATTCTGATGCCATCTTAAAACACTGAAAAATAAATCAAAACTTAGAATACGAAGGCAGAAAGATGAAGAAATAAAGAAAAAGTGTACAACTTTACAGTCCTTGTTAAGTGCTCCGTCATGGGTCTGGTGGCCAGGCATGAGTCCCCTTTGCTGAGCTGCCACCACTGGAATGACCGTTGCCACTCTTCAGTACCATCTCAAGCCCTTGATGGACCTCGCCAATGCGATGCTACCAATGCCAGCGGGTACTACACTGGCCTGAATTCGATTCCGCTGCCATGAGTCCGCTTCAGGGCCCACCTCGCCAATGCAGCCACTGCTGATGCCGCTGGGTCTCGTACTGGACCCAAAGTCGCCTCAGCTGCCACCTCCATGAATCTGCACCGGACACAGATGCCGCCGGGAACCCAAACCAGGCTTCACCGCAGCAGCCGTGAGTCGGTGCTAGGATTGCCTTGAAGATGCAGAAGCCACCGGGAGCCCAAACCCACCTCTGACACAGCTGGCACGAGTCTGCTCTGCCGGGCCCACTCCCCACTGCTGTTGCCACGACCGAGCTCTTCAACAAGAGGTAAGTGAAAAAAGAAAGAAAATGAGAAAAGAGAGAGAGAGGAAAGTAAAGAAATGAAAAGCGGATGGAGTGGATGAGCGCTGGGCTTATGGTGGTTGCAGATCAGAATGGGGAGGTATGGTTTGGAGGAAGGTGTGGTGTTCTTTTCTTCTCCCAGATCTGTAGGATGAATGTATGGAGTCTGGATGTGAGCAAAAACCGATCTGTTCTGAGGAACTCCACTGTAATATCGCTGTGGCAGCCGGCTTTGTGGTTTACATCCATTGATTTCTTATTGCAGTCCTCCCATCAATGGTGGTCCACCTGTGGATCCTGCCACAGCGTACTGGGAGATAGCCAGGAGCTGCTGCTGTGAATTCGTGGTTAAAGATTTGATTAAAATTGACACGTGACATTGTTATTGTTAAGAAGAGCGACACTGTACAATGAATGAAGGGGATGCTGTTAATTTCATTTTGGACCATAGATGAACCTCATGGCTGCATGTCAGTATGATCAGCACATTAACGAGTCTCTTTGGTTTTCTCATCTCACCACATGCCTTCCAAATTAGTATTTGTCAGCCTTGAGCTGTTGGAATGCTGTGTTCTCAATGTGCAACCTTGAGTTGTTCTGCCAAGTGTTCAACACTGCTCACTTTTGATCTAGGAGAGCACAGATCTCAATATTATTTATATTCAAATGCAAAACATGCCAAAGCATGCAGCGAACTTCCACTGAGTGTTTCCCTTGTCTAGATTGTTAGATAAGAGCTTAGACTTTCCACGCTCCCAACTGAACCCCATCCCGATGTACCTATGAGAGGGCGAGAATTCTCCTGCCAGAGTTGGTCTCCTTCAGCTTCCTTTTCCTTACATTGTTTGCTCCTTTAATGGTCTGGTTTCCAGCCTAGAGGAAATATCAAGGTGAAAATGGACTCCTTGATCTTTGTGCCATCTGCAAAAGCAGTTCTTTAAAACAGATGAAGCAGAGATGCATAACACTGTTTATTAAGTCTTTGCACAGGGATTAGCTTCAATCTAAACTTTTCCACCCCATGTCATTGGTGTTTGAGAACTGATTGCCTGAACCAAGTGGCCAGTTCCCTCTGAATGAAAATGGCTAAAAGCCATGTTCTTCAGTATGTTTTCATCTGTGGGCTGATGCACCTCAACCAACTTGACCTTCTCAAGACCTAACTATTGCAGATTTGGTCTGAAACTAATAGAACTGGACCAAGGAGAGAGGTCACTGTGCTTCCTACACGACCAGTCACCATTAAAATGATCAATCTTTTTAACGAATGCAGTTCTCAATTAAGGTGTCTTCAAATAAACCTGTTGGGCTATAACCTGGTGTTGTGTGATTTCTGACCTAGTCAAGAATTAAAGAGAATCTTATTTTAGAGGTAAACAACTTGGTTCAATTGAATCTCTTAATGAATATAAACAGTGTAGGGGCATTCGTAAGGAAGAACTCAGGAAGGCAAAGAAGAGATATGAGATAACATTGGCAGGTAAGGTTAAGGATAATCAAAAGAGATTCTACAAAGACATTAAAAGCAAGAGGGTAACTAGAGAGAGGGTAGGGCCCCTTAAAGATCAAAGAGGTCGTCGTTGTGTTGAAACCCAGGAGATGGGAGAGATGCTAAATAAATATTTTGTGTCAGTTTTTTTCTCTGGATAAAGAAATGGAGTCCAAAAAATGCAGAGTTCAAAAACAGTTAACATAACAGAAGAGGAAGTTTGGGAGGTCTTAGAGAATATAAAGGTGAATAAATCTCTGGGACCTGATCTAACGTAATCCAGAACATTGTGGGATGTAAGGGAGGAAATTGCAAGACCCCTTGCTGAAATATTTGCATCATCTATAACTAGAGGTGAGGCACCTGATGACTGGATGGTGGCTAACGTTGTACTTTTGTTTAAGGAAGGTTGTAAGGAGAAACAGGGGAACTAAATTCATGTGAGTTTGACTTTGGTTGTGGGTAAATTGTTGGAGGAGATTATAAAAAGTAAGGTTTATGGACATTTAGAGAGACAAAATTGATTAGGGATAGTCAGCATGGTTTGGTGCAAGGAAAATCATGTCTCACAAACTTGATTGAGTTTTTTGAGGAAGTTATCTTGTTTACTTGTATTTTAGTAAAGCCTTCAACAAGGTTCTGCATGTAGATTTATGAGTAAATTTAGGTCACTTGGGATTCAGGGTGAGCTTGCCAATTGGATACATAGCTGACTTAATGGCAGGAGACAGCGAGTGGTGGTGGAGGGTTGCTTTTCAGACTGGAAGCCTGTCACCAGCGGTGTTCCACAGGAATTGGTTCTGGGTTCTCTTTTGTTTGTCATTTATGATAAATGATTTGGATGCGAATATAGAAGGCATGGTTAATAAGTTTGCAGATGACAACAAAATTGGTGGCAGAGTAGACAGTAAAGAAGGTTTTCTAAGATTACAGAGGGATCTTGATCAAATGGGTCAATGGGCTGAAAATGACAGATGAAGTTCAATCTGCATAAATGCAAAGTATTGCATTTTGGTACAACAAACAAGGGTAGGGCTTATACAATTAATGGTAGGGCTTTGGGTAGTGTTGTAGAACAGAGGAACCTAGGGGTGCAGGTACTTTGAATTTTGTGTTAAAAGGCATTTGGCACGCTTGCCTTCTTTACTCAGTCCTTTCAGTATAGGAGTTGGGAAGTTATGTTAATGTTGTACAGGATATTGGTGAGGCCTCTCCTGGAATACTGTGTCCAGTTCTGGTCGCCCAGTCATAGGAAGGATATTATTAAGCTGGAGACAGTTCAGAAGAAATTTACCAGAATGTTGCCAGGTATGGAAGGTTTGAGTTATAAAGGCTTGATACTTTTTTCACTGGAGCATAGGAGGTTGAGAAGCGACTTTATAGATGTTTATAAAATAGTGAGGGGTATAGATAGAATTAATGGTAGTTGTCTTTTCCCTAAGATGTGGGATCTAAAGACCACGGACACGTTTTTAAGGTGAGAGGAGAAAGATTTAAAATAGACATGGGAAGCAAATGTTTTACACAGAGGATGGTTTGCATGTGGAGTGAACTTGCTGAGGCAGTGGTGGATGTGGGTACGATTGCAATGTTTAAAAAACATTTGGATAAGTACATGAATAGGAAAGGTTTGGAGGGATATGGGCCAGGAGCCGGCAGATGGGACTAGATTAGTTTGGGATTATGTTCGGCATGGACAGTTTGGACCGAAGGATCTGTTTCTGTGCTGTATGACTTTATGATTCTATTGAGATGTTTTCAGTTGTAGTTGAATAAACAAAGGACCATAGATATAAAGTAGTCACTAGGAAATCCAATAGGTAAGTTGAGGAGAATGTCTTTCCCCAGAGGATGTTTAGAATATGGATGTGAACACACTTTACAAAGGAGTAGTTGAAGCAGTAGACATACTTCAGAAGAAGCTAGATAAACACATACAGGAGAAAGCTAGTGAACCCCAGCAGGTCTGGCTGCAACTGTGAAGAGAGAAATAGAGTTAATGTTACTAGTAATTTAGGTGTTGATGAGGTTAGCTCACAAGTGTAAGAAAAGTCTCCTTTGGAGCATAAACACGAGTATTGACTGGTTGGGTTGCATGGCCAGATTTGGTGCTGCACATTTTACCTTATACTCATTCCAAAGGAATTGTCAAACTGGTCAGGTCGTCTTGTACAGTGTCAACAAGTAGAAAGTAAACTATCAATGCCATGTCTCAGTGCTTCAATTTCTTTGAACAGGAAGCATGCCATTTAGCTCCTGGAGCCTATTCTGACTTTCAAGGAGATCCTGGTTGACATATGAGCCAGCATTACACTATCTAGCACTTTAATTTGAAGTTTAGTTCTGGCAAACAAGTTGATCACTCAGTAATGACAGAATTCTTAGTTCTCAAGCTCTCTCTGATCTGAGATTTACATTGATGGAGTTTGTGAGAAACATAGTCATTATATTTCCAGTGCAGGTCAAGCATTTAATAGCTCCTGAAATAAAAATGGAAAGCCCTGGAGAAATTCAATAAGTCTGACAGCATCTGCGGAGAGAGTAACAGAGTTAACGTTTTGAATCCTTTATGACTTTTCTTCAGAACTTAATTTCGTAATTCCTAGTGCATCTTCAAAGAAGCAGGACTGATAACGTTTGATGATGATGATGTAAATGATGATGGTACTCTGACCTTAGAAGAGAACAGAACAGAATCTAGGAAGAAGCATGTAATGGAGCAGGCACGATATGGTGCATAAGCTGCAACAAGTAAAATATAGGACTCAGTGTAAGTAAACAGTGTTACACCACTGAAGAGAGTGAAGTTTTACTCTAGGATAATGATGGATTTGGTATGCTAAGGACACAGAACAGTAGCAACCTAGTAAGACAGAGCATCCTCTAGAAGTGGGGGCACCCAATGCCCTAGAGAACCAAGAGAGTATAACACCCATGAAGGGACAAACAGCCCAAGGCATACTAACCACTGAGTTCTCTTAAAGCATACTGGAAGCAGTATCCTCTTAAAGTACTTCAGTAAACAAAGTTTTCGAAAGTTATTGTATGAGCAAGATATTTATGGTGGCAAGTGCCTTATGATGATAAACATAAAGCAATGGAACTAGAAGTGTTCATTCCAATGAAGCAAAACAAACTACAGACAGCTAGAGACTCATTGACAGTCTTCACCATCGGACAAGAAAGGAGTTGAAATTACTTTTTGGAGATGTCAAGAACAAAGGGTATTACCTTAAAACTTGGGCTAGATTTTTTAGTGGTGACGCAAAATGCACTTTTCTACGTGAAGAGGAATGAAACTCTTTCCCCTATGAAAGTCTAGGTAAATTGAACATTTTGAAACAGATTTATTGTACATCTGTGGAACTGACTACTGCTGGGCTTTGGTTGGGGTACAGTCCTGCCACCAGTTCTCCTGTCTCTGCTGAATCATTGGTCTATTTAATAAGTAGCTGTAGAGGACAAATAACTACTTAGTCTTAAAGGAAAAGGGCACTTGCTCATCGATAGCAATTGATACAAGTAATATAGTCTGGTTAGGTATATCTATAAAGACTACCGAGCATCAGATATGAACATTTCTTTCCATCAAGACTTTGTGCTTGACTATTTCTTATCCACCCAGAGACTGTGTGACATCAGCTTGGGTTGAGGCTTTATGCAGCTTCAAAGTTAACTATTTCAGAATCATTAACTTATGTAAGAATAATTGCATATTTTTGTTAGGCAACGTTAATAACTAAGATGGGGAAAGAGGGTTAAGATCATTCAAGAAATCATTGAATGGGTGAACAGGCTTGAGGAGTTGAAGACTCCTCCTGTTTCTGACTTTTCCCCTAAGTTCCTATATTACTAAAGCCCCCACACACTTCCTTCACATTTTTAATCACACATTTCATATTCAATTCTAAAATCTGGAACAATTTCTGTTTATAGCGAAATGAAAGAGTAATTCAAGCACATTCCTCATTTTGTTGGCTAGAATGCTGATTGTGCAGGATTGTAATCATGTTGCTATGTCAGTTAAATCTAGGGAATCTCACCCTTTTCGTATTTTGTTTCTTCTTTACCTCATGCATCAGGGTAGCTTGGCCTTTGCCCCAATTTTCAGTTATATTCTCCTCCCTGTTCCACCATTTACTCATAATTTATGTTGTGTTCTCACTTTGTGTTTTTATGACTCAGGTCAACAAAGCTATTATGCTGCCCTCCATTTGACTTTATGTCAAATAAGCGTTCATTCTTGCTAATCCTAATTTACGCCTTAACTCTCTTTGGCTGCTCTCCTTTGACAAAGCTGCTATTTTATTCTGAATTAATTTTATCCTTAATTTAAATTTACCATCCCTCCCATCTCACTTAGCCTCTCCATTAATATGATATC